GGGGGGGGTTGCATTGTAACACGTTTTTCAGATTTGAACAGCATAACCATGACTCAGGAATAAGTTTTACTCCCCAACTTAAACCTAATAAAAAGCATTTGGTTTTACCTCCGTAACACGCCCCACTATGATATCACCAACCTCTGGTTTATATCTAATAAACAATACAGACAAATGCATCAGAAAAGACACCCTAACAAGAAACCAAAAGAAGGGAAACATTAAACTATCATCAAGAAAAATCAAATTATAAAGATTCATGGACAACCTGGCACGTAAGGCACGTACATAGATAAGCTTATTGACTCGCTCAACCACTCCACAAATAGTGGCAACTACTTCTCCATACAAGTCAAGGGTTCCATGTCCCCTGTAAACACATCTCAATTAAACCTCAATGCAATAACCCCCAGGCAAGTACACAAACCAAATATCTATTGTATAAAGATAGTGAGGAATTATATACTTGAGGACACCATCCTCGTAATTGAGAGGAATAGTATCAGCAACTACAACTGAAGCATCGGAATTTGCTTTCGAAGAGATAGACTCGAGCGTTTCTAGGGCTCTTTGAAGCCGAATCTTCTGGGTTTGATTCAAGGAAACTTGTAATCCTCTCATATCTGCATTTAGAAAATTACTAAATTAGAACATAGGGGTGCTGCAGGATGCTGATCACCAAAATCGACGTACTAGAACAAAATATTTGTACAGATATCCGATAATAATTTGGTACGTGGTGAAAAAAATTACACAAATAAGGACTAGCAACGTCGCAACATAATCATTTCTCCGAGCCACGACTGTGCAAAAAAAACAATCAATTACGGACATGGAACAATGTGCAAATGAGGCAACAGGTTGCTGCCGGTTGCTGAAGATAGAGGAAAAAATGAATAAAAGGAACAGAGGTGGACGAGCAAACCAGGTGCGACGGCGAAAGGTACAACAGGCCAAGCAGGTGCCGTCTATGCAACGACGGCAGTGACCCTGGAACGAGGTGATCTGCAAACGAAAAAAATACAAAACGCGGACGGCAAACAGCGTCAATGGTTGCAGAGGAGAGAGGGAAAGAAATGGAGAACGTGGTGCATCAGCGAAGTTGAACGTACGGAAGGCGGCAGTGAAGATCTAGGATTCCGTCGAAGAGAACGGGAGGGGGTTGAAACACGGTGGGTCTTCACAAAGTGGTGCGACGGCGACGATAGACGTGGACGGCGGCTTCTTAGCAGAGCGACAGCGTAAATCTAGGGTTCATAGGGAAAAAAAAGGAGGGAGAAGAAAATAAATAATGCTTGTACGGACGACCTTAAGAAACTGCGCCAAAATCAAATATGACCTTATTTTTTCAAAACATAGTTACAAAATCAACAATCATTTTTAAATTTGTTTTCCACTTAGCTCAACTCTGCTTCCTACGTACTCTTTTCCGGCCTTGCCACCATTATCGATACTCATCCTTCTATAAAAAAAAATATTTATTTCTTAATTTATAAAATTTTAAAATCATTTTCATTTTATAATATAATTTATACTAAAAATGTAAAATATCATACTACATCACTTATATTTCATAACAAAAACATAATACAATATTCTATCAATATAATTTCTACAAATTCAAATTTCATTACAACATAATTTTCAAATCTTAAAAATAATATTCTACACAAAAAATATATATATTAGTTTTGTACCTTAAATTGACGTATATAAAAAGGATTTGGCCTCGTGCCTAACTCCATTTAGCGGGCAAACATGTTCCGTCTACCTTCCAATTTTTAATTTAAACAGATTTTATGTCTGGATTCCTCTTCTCTTGTTTTCTATCCTCCTTTGTTTGTTCATTTTCTTAAGAGAGGCCAAATTGATTTTTGTTGAAATGGGTAAGAAAACACTATGAGGAAATAATTTGGAGTGAAAGTGACAAAATGAAGAATTTTTATATCTGAAAATTTATAGATGTTAAGATGGGAACTAAACAATGATGTTATGTCTTGTTAAGCTTCAAATGACCTGATATATAATTGACAAAAATAATGTAATCCCCTGAATGAACCAGACTACAGACATGCATGTAGTGAGTGCACTGTACCATGACAAGCACAATCAATGAGCAAAACACACGGAGAATGGAAAATAATAATAAAAACCAAGCAAGTTTAAGCCATTATTTGTGGACACGGACAAAGATTGTGAGTTGTTGGTGTGTTCTATTCTCGCTTTACACTTGAGGACGTAGCCTTCAGCTTATTCCTAGCTCGAACGATATATTCTGAAAAGTGATTATCTTCTTTGACGTTCTCCTTTCCTCTGCTACTCGAATCATGTCGCTTGCTTGATATGCTTCCCAGCCTACGTTTAGCCCGACTGATGTAATCGCTAAACACGTCGTTTACATCTTCGCTGGGCTTTTGTTCTTTCTCAACTTCATCATCCTGAATTCGCAGAGAATATGAGTGAGCCAGGGCAGCCGGTTTGGGTTCTTCCTGGCGGTTTAGCGGAGGGACAAATTTGAGGATTCTAGGATACAAGCCAAGAGCCTTGAGAAGCTTCTCGCACACGGGGTTGCGCTTGGAGGATTTGGAGTTCCTTCCCATTGCGTGCTGATGTGGTGTTATGAGACTATGATTGGGATTGACAGTGTAGTGGGTATTGGTAATGGGGAAGAAACACGCCTGGTATTCTATTTATATCGAGTGAGAATTGGAAGAGGATGAGATTGATTATTAAAAGATACCACAAGGATGCTTCGTGGATCCTACCCAGTTTGAAACTTGATTAATTATTACAGAGTTCGAGAAATCTAAAAGAGGGTGCTTTTTGTGAGTGTTTTCCAATTGATATGACATTCAGAGAGGAGAATCATATTCCAAGCTTTGGTTTCTGCCAAATTTTCTCCGGAGATAGTCCAATTAATGCAACGTAATAGCTGTTTTCAAAACTTTGAAAGCATCCAAATCAGTAATGATTCCGAAGAAATTAGAAAAAGGTTGAGAAGAGAATCTGGGCAGAAACCGGGCGACCATTTCCATTCCATAATTACTGAAAAGGGAGGAAGAAGGAATCACATTTTGTGGTGGATGCACATTCAGAGGCGTACTCTTCCTTACAAAATAATACCACCTCAAACATATTCTCATCTCATAAATTGTCTCTCCCTTTTGCTGCAAACAACAAGTTCAAGTTAGGTGGAGAGGGCTATAGTTTTTAGACTCTCTACCAACCCTTTACGGGTGGTAATATTGAGTGTTTCTCTACAAATTTTAACTATGAAGGGAGAATGAAGGGACGTTGAGGAACATGGACCAGATAGGCCAACGAGAGAGAGAGAGAGAGGGGGGGGGGAAAAAAAAAAGAAAAAAGAAGAGTTAAGTGGGGAGGGCTATAATAGTGGTAATATTGAGAGTTTCTCCAAAAATTTTAAGTTCATATATCGGTCTAGAATCTATTTACACCAATTCTTTCTCCAATTCCATAGACTTTTACTACAAAATTCTACTTTGACTAGTCTCATGACTCGAAGATTCTTCTAACCGAGATTGAAGTAAAAACTATTTTAATTAAATTTATAAGACATTATCAGGTTGATTTTTGATGAATTATTCTAATATTTTTTACAGTTTAAAAATACTTTTGAAATATTAAAAATAATGGGGGTATCTATGCAATTTTGAAACAACAGAATTATTTATCTACTTCTAAATCATTGGTAAAAAATTAGGTGTTTCTTTTTTTTTTTTTTTTTTTTTTTTTTTTTTTTTTTTTTTTTTTTTTT